AAAGAGCGTTATCATGCAATTGCAGAATGGATTTTCAGAAATTTGTTACAAGTCAGTAGTTGATTATAACTTTTCGAGTAAAATAGGCATTTCTGGTTTAAATGCGTAATACATGAACTAGTCACATGTGCAAAGCAGCCATGGATCAACGATCGTTCCCTCGCCTATGGCCATCGTTTGGACACGATATGACCGGTACAACTTGCAGTTCAAGTCTTAATTTCAATTTCGTAAATGGAATCAAAGATGGGCTCGATGTTCGGAGAAATCATTTCGTTCAAACCAACGAGCTGGGATTAGAAAAACAGCTGAACGAAAAGCGCTGCTTGAAAGAATCTTTTGCGGTTTCTCGAGACATGAAAGGGTTCGGAAACATCCCTCCATCCCTTATGCCTTTGTTGCTGTATTCAGGTTACAACTGGACGACACAGGCGACTGTGGGAATACGAAGCAGAGATCTAAAATTTGGAATAGACAGGATTGTTTTTAATGAGAGTGGCGGTGAGCCCACCTTTAAGGCCGACCATTTTCACCCAGGCAAAGGTAAGGTTGTCGGCCATAGTTTTTAAAAGATATTATGCACTTATTTTACCTAGTATGAATTACGTACTGCTATCATGAAAGTTTTGGACATATAAAAAGAAATATATCATGGTTGACATTAAAAACAATTGTAAAATTTCCCCTAGCAAATTTATTCAAACGACTACCGATTTATGATTTTACATTCTGCTGATTTCTCTTTGATCATGAAAGTCGTAAATAAATAAAAACCAATGTGTCATGGTTGACATTAAGTACAATTAAAATTTTTCCCCTGGTAAATTTATCCAAACAATTGCCGATTTATGTTTTAAGATCTTAACATTAATTATGCCATCTCTTTTTTAAAAACATTTTTCTGTTCTAATTCCAAAGCCCTATACAACCAGCATTATTTTTTGCCGCCGGAGAAATGGGTAGCCGGTGGCAGGGAATCGGTCATGGCGTCACCCTATACGTTTCCTTTATCCGATCAAGTTGGATCGCGTCAACGAATATTTGACACAAAATGCTTTGGACCTTCAGTTTTTCCAGGTAATAATGTAAGTTAATGCCAAGAGTGAAAAAAGTAGAATTATGAATAAGTTTTCATCCGAACTAAAATATACGAAAAATGCGGATAGCCAAGTAGCCTACTTTGTAAGTGGGGAGTGAATATACATTACAAGTATCTATATAATTTAATATACTTTCTGCATCCCATGGTTTGATTTATGGTATTTTTCTTCATCATTGTGAATTAGCCATAACAAAAAGTACAGGTATGTTTTATTTTTGTATTTGTGCAGAATTCCTAAAGTTCTGCGCAAAAATGAATAATTGTTATTCGCAGTAAATTAAGTAAAGGCAACATCGTTGCATTGAACTTTACAATTTTAGGGGTTCTAAGACTCTCATAAATTTTCACTGATGCCCAAGATGAACCATTTTCTCATTTGTAGTGGAAACTTTAAAAAGTTTAGGAATTTATGAGGAATAGTTTATCACCTATTTGTCTATAAGCCGATTTTTGCATATTACAAAATTAAAATTTGTCAAGTATTATATAAAAATTTATAATATTGCATGTAAGAAAAAATAATCATTTGGAATGATTGTGTCGAAATAATTTCATCTATTTTTTTTTCTTTTGTAAAATCTGAAAAAGTAGTGTAATGCGATTGTAATTCAGAGGGATTACCAATTTAGGGGAGACCGGGGCTAGTTGGACCCCGGGGTAAGTTGCCCCCCATCAATTTATGACAAAGTAACTATGGATTAAAAAAATTGATCACATCATTTTGTAATAGTGCTAAGAAACGTCTCCCCTATATAAAGACCGTAGATTACATTTTTGCGCATTGATCTAAACTGTAATATATAGATTGGGGATGTTATTGGGTTTCTTAAATACCAAAATGTTTCCCTGGAAACATATTTTTTTTTCTGCCAAGCCAAAATTTGATATTGATTTTATTTCGGTAAGGATCATTTTTAGAGGAATGGAATTGGTCATACTGAAACGATTATAATAAAGATTTTCATATTAAGTGGAACATGTTACCTAATAGTTCTATTAAAGACCTATATCTAAGTTTATTGTAATTAGTTACGTCTCTACGAGTTAGTATATTTTCAAAATGAGATTTGTGTATGTTTTGTTCACCAAGGTCCATACTCGGTAATAGGGAGGCATACGGACCCTTTCGCCATTGCGGCTACCTCTGGGAGGAGAAAACGCTCGTGGACACGGGCTGTATTTTCCTCTCTCCAGAGAAAGGGCTTGGAAAAACGCTTCGAGCTACAGAAATACGTCTCGAAGAACGACCGCCGGCAAATAGCAGCAATGCTTGGACTTACCGACGCACAGGTAAAGAAATGCGAGAAAAAGATTTAATTCTGTCTTTATTTGTTGTGCTACATGTATCACAATTTAGGTTAACTTACATGTATGAGTTTCAAACTCGATTGTTCGATTCCGTCAACGAATAAGACAAATACTGCTGTTGAAAAACCTACCAAAAAATCGAGTCCGTAAGGGTTACTAACTGATAAATTGGCGTTTATTGGAACAAAACTCTATTTTTAGGTTAAAGTTTGGTTTCAAAATCGCCGAATGAAATGGAGACAAGCAAAAGAAAAAGAGGAGCGTCATTTAGAAAAGAACGAAACCGAAACAACAAAAGACGACGGAGGAAAAATTCCTATTACTCAGAGCCTGCCCTCTTAAAAGATACGTCTTTTTATACTTGACAGTAAAACGTTAACAAATTTGCCATGGTTTTTACTTGATATACAAAAAGAAATGCCAGTAAAAGACTAAAAGGAACTTATTCTTGCTGTACTTCGGGATCTTCACGGATGTCAATTCTCTTTTTAATATAACGCCAAGAAAAACATTTAAGGAAACAGAAAACTATAGCTATCAACGGCTGAAACTTTTATTGGAGTTTACGTAACCTCTTACTATTTACCTTTGCCAAATTATTGTAGTGTGACGAACGTGGTGGGGGACGGCTGTAAAATGTCTAAAGTGCATATTCGATTAACCTAATCTGTACCGAATGTTCTTCGAAATAGAGTAAGACAAACAGAGGAAAGGAAATACTTTTCATCGGCACTGCTCAATCGAACAAGAAATGCGTTTTATTTGGACTTTTATTTGTGAACCGTAGCTGGAAAAGTGCGAAGGCATTCTGCACATCGTCTAATTAAATTGGACTATGGCTTTCGATTAAAAATTGCGGTTTTTCAAAATTAAGCTGACAATTGGCAAATTTGGGGTTTGCAGCTGACATTTATCAAGCTTCATTTTAGGGATAACCAGATAAACAGAGAGAAAGAGTGTACTTAGCAAATAAGTATAAAAAGCTTTGAGGACCGTTGCTCTTGTTTTTCACTTTGACATTATTTGTGTTGCCCCAACAATGCGCACTAGAGGTGTGATAAGAAAGCGTTAGTGGAAAAATAAAAGTTCAGCAACAGTCTTTTCTATCATCACAGTACATTTAAAACGAGCGGAAGTGCCAAGAAAAGATATATCAAGGTTAAGCTACTGTTTATGTTACAGTTAAATGAATTGCTATTATCATAACCTTTATAGTTGATACGGCGAAAGATCACCAAATGATGCGAGCCATACTGTACATCGAAAAGTGTCTAGTACCTATAGCATCTTGGGTAATATTTCAGATACGTTGGCATATTTTCGAAACAGATCCTTCGATTAAATGAACAGCCGTTAAGGATGATGTTTCTCGGGACTGTTTTCTAAGCATCTTTTATTGCCTAACACGTGTAATTCTAGTAAAATGTAGCATAACCTAATAAAGTGTTCTATTAGGTGAAACCCAAAATAGCACAATCAATTTTCATATTTATTTGCACTTCACTTGAAATCGGATTAAATGTTATTAAACTAACAATTGTTCAAGGAAATCTGCAAGAACACAAACAAACGCGTTCTCAATAGAAATTACTTCTATTTCATGATATTTCCTACAAAAGCAGATATTTGAAGGATTGGTATTTTTTACTGTTCCTTTTTACTTAATATACATGAGAGAGAAAATAAGAGATACATTTTAAATGAATACTTTCCCTTTTCTGCTCCAGTTTCTACAAGCGCTTGAAAGGGTACAGCATTCCAAACCCGCCGTGGTCACTTTCACGACAATTTGTTTGTATACGCAAGTCAAGTCAAGAGCGCAATGAAAAATGACGCTCCCAATCTAGAACCCATTAACAATAACAACTTCCAATAAAAGCTAAATAAATCCCACCTTTGAGAGACCTAATGCCTAATTAGCTCTGAAACGATTTGACAAATTCGTTAATTGATGAATTTAAACACTCGACGTTGAAATCGATGTCTGCAGTCTGCCAGTCAAAATGATACCCCGCGTTGAGAGGTCTGGCTGAACGGCACCGAAGATACTCAGCAAACGAAATGGTGGAATCCATTTTCTCGTTACAGAGTAGGCATCTAATTAATAATGTTTGTGGTTTAGAATTAATTGCTTAAAACGTAATAGATTAATCATGTATTTGTGGATATTTTTTGTCTTTTAGTACTTTCTTTGGCCTCCAAAAGAAACGTCCAAACAAATGACCATCTTTTCATTTTCGTAAAAAGCAACAACAGACAGATACATCTTTTTTTTCAGAGAACAAACGGACAGACCACACATGCAAAGGCCAAGGCATTTTAAACGATATTGATGTTGTTGTATACCATAAGTATAAATAGACCGTCTTGTTGTTTCTCACATTGGTCCTGTCAACCCCTCGGTTTATCTCATACGTCACCGAATGACAGCACACCGAGTAATGGTCATTTATCACCAGCGAAAAGTTTGGTCTTCGCTACTAAACAAACCATTAAAAAACGCAGGTATGTAAAACAAACCAGGGGCATTAACGCCGTAAATAAAACAAATAACTGGTGAAATTGAGGTAGCCGTTTATAATGGACTTCACGGTTAGATTTACGGCAGATTGGAAAAAAATATATCGCTATATAAATCTTGCTCAATTCAGAGTTGGCATTTGTGCTGACAAGTGAGTTTACTTATAACACTGAGACTGTTGAAAGCCGAGGGCTGCACGGAGTAGCAATCTCCTAATTGTCTGTATAAAGTTTACATATAAACAAAGGAAATAGAGGCGTATGAGCGAAAATGCATGTATTGTAAGATTTACGAAATCAAAAAGGTTTTTTTCGGACATTGAAATATTTTACTTGTGAAATTACAGCAAGCTTGGGACATCATTTTATTAAGGAGAGAAAATTGTTTCTGTTTCGAGATGTCTGTTTCATATTGAAGACGAAGTTTGCAATTATTTAGCGTTACTTTTAAATTAAAACATGATAAGTTTGAAATGTTTCTACTCTATGGATGGTATTTAATAATAAATAAATTAGGTCTAAATTCGAGATTATGAGCAACTAGGCGCATAATGTCGAGTGATGACAACGTATTTCGTTCAGTCCGAAAAAAAAACTAAATCAATATCGGAAATACATTAAATGACTTAAATGATTGGGAACAGTTGACATAAAGCATCAAGTAAAAAAGCAAAATACAAATTGGTTTTAATGGAGCATTCCACACCAATTATTCACCCTTTAAAAGAAAGATTTCTCTTCATGTTGTTAAGAAACGTAAAACCCGTTGCTCAGAAAATGCACTTGAAAGAATGATTTCAAATTGCGTTTGTGTTTATATCCACAGCTTGATATGAAACAGCGTTTCTCACTTCATTTCAGTTTGACAGTTTATTACTTTTTCAATATATTAACTATTTGTTTTCTTTAACAGAATCTTCAACGCACAAGCATAGATACTTGTTTTATTGACGTTTTGCCCCTGACATTACCTGGGACGCTTCAATGCTTCACCGCTTCTTTGTTGTTTTTTACGAAAAAGTTGAAATTTTATATATTAGGAAAAGGCACGCATTATAATGTTAAACCACTGAAGTACTTGAGTTGTTAGTAAACGGTCTTGTCATTTATCTGTGTTTTATCAAGCACAACTTTGAAGGTAGCTTTGTTTATGGAAACCAAAGCAAAAATGGAACTGTCTTAAAGTAAACAGCCACCTTTCTTTAAGTAGACTGAAACAATAGCTGATCCTTGGAATAATCAAATCACTCCGAGTGTCAGAGGAGACTGGAGACTCGCTTCTCTACTATAAGCATGCTTTGGGATTCTTGAACCGGCACCAAAACGATTTTTAAAAACTGGTATAACGCAACAAGGTAAAAAAATGAAACAATTTCACATCTTAAGTACACAACATGTACTGTACACCAACGGCAGTCCAGCACTCCAGATCGTGTATAATCACCAATATATTATAATATGTGGGAGGAATGATTGTCTCGGTATAATAGTTGTATAGTCGTCACAGTGAGCACCCAGCGGTCCTTGAGCAGAAATACCGTTTTAATCAAACGTTCAATACAATAACTAGATCGTATAATATTATTATTGAAGCTGGCATAGGTGAAATCGCTGCTAGGATTGATCTGTGTTCTAAAATAAATAGACAGTTCATATGGTGGTTGAGGGAAGGAGGAAAGTGGTCAGTTATAACAGACAGGTAAATTTCGTACCTTATTGAAGTCTTCTCAGAATCATTCCACGTGTCAGCGTATCGTGTGGAGAAGACGGTTACACTGCGCTTGCGTGTTTAGTGGTCACGCAGACCTCGTGAATATTGGAGGATGACCTAATGATTGGAATGAGTGGGCGTGTCGCATTTACGATGACCACGATGTCTGGGGAGAACATGTGCGTTTGTGATGTGTGTGTTTGGAATGATGACTGGACTACAAGGAAATTACGTTGATAATATAAGATTTATGCGGCAGTCCCTATTAGATATCTGGAACTTAGATATGCTACATAGCTAAAACAAATACTAACCCCTAAAACTAATATTGTGAAATTACAGCGAATGTTAAAATCCAAAGTTAAAATCATTGCAGCGAACAATTTTACTAATAAAAATGTTATAAATAAAAATGTGTATGTTATATTGGAGGCCCTGATAATTTTATTAATAAAAACAAATAAATATAAATAAATAAATAAATATTTGCATGTTATAGTAGAGGCCCTGATAATGAAAATTAATTGAAAATAAAATGAAAAAAAAAAAAATAATTTGGACAGAGAAAAGAACAACAATGACTTTTTCATTGTTTCTGCTCAGGCACAGTATTTTTTTTTATTAAGAAGCATAAAATCATGGTCTTAAACAGACAAAAATAACACATAACACTTAATTCGAAAAATATATGGAAAAAGTTTTATTGCCTCCCCCCCCCCCACACACACCATCCTACAGTGTGTATGTACAAACTGTGCAATACAATATCACAGCCATACAAACACAAGATAAATGTCCATCATCTTACAGCCTGCAATCAGTTAAAAAAATTAATTCAAAATCCTCTTGTTTTCAAATTTTCATGGTATCGTTTCCACTGTAAGTACTGTTCGATGACTCCACAGTATTTCTTGATAAAGCTAGCTCTCACAGCCTCATCTCGTATTATCTTTTTTCCAAGAGTTGTTAACTTCCCCTCTGCTAGCGCTGTCAAGTCAAATCTAGGAAACAAGCTGAAAAAAGACATGATTGAACTAATAATGGATCATACTCTCCATTAATTCTTGGCAATGGGATAAAATGGGATAAAATAGGCTCTTTTGGTAGGTAGACATCTCTATTTCTTGGCATCTCCCTGGTAATAATTTAGTGGGTTTTATTTCAACTTCTAACCTTGCTTGATTTAATATCAGATTAATTAATCATTACATTGAACGTTCCATCAAAAAGAAAAAAAGATACAAGGAAAGAAATTTGACATTTTTACAACAAAAAATAAAATAAAATAAAATAAAAATAAATAAATAGATAAAAATTAAAATTAAAAAAAACAAAAACATGTTCTTACTTATCTGCATCTGCAGGTTTCTTAGTAATCTCCTTCTCTCTAACTACAGGAGTATCCTCTCCATTAGTTTGTCCAAACACCACAGCATTTAGAATGTCTAACACCTCTGGTCTACAAAGTCGCAGGCTTGTACAAAAGTTGATGATGGTATAGAGCAAAAGTTCTGCATACTTTTCTTCTGTATAAACAATAGCATCTGAAAATCCACAAACATAGTTAGGTTTTACATTTAAAAAAAAAGAATGACAAATACCTGATATTGCAGTTTCAAAGTAAAATTAATATATATATTAATTTTTTGTTCACTGAATACCTAGCAAAATATTCTCAACTCAAATGGTATATTAAATTTTATAAAATCAGTTTGACACAATATTTTTTATGACAGTAGATGTATTCAGGAAAACTTATTTACAGCAAAACTCACCAGCTTTATTTTGATACAAAGGACAAGTCTTTTTCATCATTGACATAGTTTCTATTGCTCCATTGATATCAAGTGTATAGTCCCATGGCAAATTCCCATTCTCTAAGTCCCACTTAAACTGAGGTTTGAGGATATTTGTGGTGCCTAACAAATGCTTCAATCTGGAAATGGGGACGGCATTAACAAGGCTATACACAACACACTGAGAGGGAATGAGTCCTTTGATTTCATCTCCAACAGTTTGTAACTGAGATGGTAGGACACATACGAATAACAAGTGAACTGAGGATGCCACTCTGGCATTATCATGGAAGCACCTCACTCCTCTGTCCTGTAGATCACCTGAAACAGACAATGTATGCCTGATAAAACATGTGTCTAATATATTACATGTAGGTGAAAAATCATCAAAAGAGGCATTACCTAGGTATGTATACCTAACATTATATTTATGTAGAATAATAGCCCTTTACTGTCATTTACACTTGATTAAGTTACCGAGGATAGTGGTTTAGCTGTCTTCATATCAGAAAGTATTTTAAAAAGGGGTTGGATGAAAAGTAAATTTTAGCCACTTTGATTTTTTTCTAATATATCTTTAAATGATTTTATCTTTATATATCAGATTATCCCTTTCAAGTAGAATAGTAACTAAAAACTATACTGTAGTTGTAATGTAGGAAACTTTATTAGTAATTAAAGCATATTAATACAGTATATCTTGCAACATATTTTGTTACATACTTAAAAAGACAAAGAATTTTTTTACCTAATGTTTCAGGTCTTCTTGATGAAATTTTTAACTCCTCAGGTCTGACATCTGCATACGTTAGTAGACAGTTTGCCAGCTGACTCCCCAGCTTCCCGCAACCAATAATGCCCACTAAAAGAGGATCCCTTGGGGTTGCCTCCTGTAATAGTTTGGACTTCTTCAGTTTTGGATGCCGAAGTTCTGCTCGAATTTGTCTGAAGATACATATTATTGTATTTTGTTTGAATCTTATCATAATGATACATATAAAGTGTGACCTCCAAAAACAAAAGCCTACTGTAGCTGCTGTGTCTGGGTTATGCTCACATTCACAATATAATATTTGGTATAAATAAAAAGCTGTACATATTTTTGTTATAAACGAGTATCAATGTTCTCAATTAAATGTGTTACGACTATATATCAAGAAACCAAAAGGCCTTTACTGATTATTTTCAAAAGTATATTAGTATTACAGAATGTAAACAAAATCAAAGTGCACCCACCTAATTTCATTAAAAACAGCTGCCAAATAAGTTGCCTGAGCACATGCTGACACAGTTATAGCGTGTGATCTCGCACGAAGTACCAGAAGGTCTTTTTCTTCATCGGTTAATGCACTTTCAAATTGTAAAGTAGGTAAATTATTTGTGATATCACTGTCATTTTCAATAGACTCAGCCGCCTTTACTGTGGGAATTGCCACTGCCATCTTGGTTTCTATCAACTAACCAGATGCATTGTGGGTATTCATAGAATCTGGCCTTGACCCCTGGTTAGTGAGGAAACTCCGAATCCAGGTTTCTGTAATATTTCTCCAATTTCACACTTTACAAGCACAATATTTTTTTAATGAAAGATAATTGTTTTTCTGCTTACAATCCATTTGATCTCATGATAAGTATTGTTACTTTTCATTTCAGGACATCATAAATTCGTACACCGTTCTAGAAGTTGGTCACTCTACCTTCTCTGTTACTGATACGATATACATTCATTCAGAGATTTTTTTAAATCAAATTGAAGAGAACAGACCATCCGTAGCTTACTTATTGTAAAGGTAAGATAGATTTCGTTAATCAGCACTGCATAACCAGAGAACTGCCAGTCGATTTGACCAACTCTTTGTTGTTTTGTCTTTCGTGGCTCAAAAATAAGGGCGTATTATTAATTATAATAGTACAATATGGATTAATACTCAAATTTATTTATTTCCTCATTTAATTACCCAGAGAAACATACCTCTTAGTTGCAGAGTTCCCTGTTCGTTTGTGTAGCAGACCAAGATGGCGTTCTACAAGGGAGCATCCAAGGAAGCAGGGAGAGCCATGCAGCTGATAAAGAAACGACAGAAAGAGCACGATGAGATGGAAGCTAAGAAGAAGAAGATCGAAGAGGAACTGCAAGTTGGTAGCATTCATAATAAGTTTGCTGCGCACTATGATGCTATAGAACAGCAGTTGAAATCGGATACAGTTGGTAAGAATTGAAGCTTATATATTTGATGTTGTTTAACTTTTAAAGGCAGTAAACGCTTTTTAAACAGCTTTTATCCAAGTGCAGTGACGCATTTTAATTTGATCTCAAAACTAAATTCTTAATTTATTTATTTATTGTATTATTTTATTATTTTACTCTGTATACTGCTCCAAAAGGAAAATGATTTCCGATTTTTATAATTGGCTAAATAAACTCTTATCTTATCTTAGTAGGACTCATGTTTTTAAAATGCATTTGAAATTAATGTTATGTGTTTTACATGTGTTATGTATTTGATTTAAATGAGTTGGTTGTTTATAATGGCATTTTTCTGGAAATTTAGGTCTTGTTACACTGGATGAAATGAAAGCAAAGCAGGAAGATGTTATAAAAGAGAGAGAGAAACAACTTGCCCTGAAAGAAAGGGCTAGCAAGTTGGATAAGGAAAGAGAAAAAGAAAAGAAAAAAAGAGAGAAAAGGGCATTACAGGTGAAGTTTGCTGCAAGATAGTATTTTTTAATACAAAAATTACCATGCATGTTCCAAGAACTTTCGAATTTGGCATTGACAAAAAATTAAAAGTGAAAAAAAAGCTGTCATCTTTTTTTGAAATAAAAACACTAGAGGATCATATTAAAAAAGGAATAAAAAAACTTTTTATTTACAGAAAGCTATGTTGTCATTTGATGTGGAGGAAGATGCAGAAGAGGAAGAGGAGGAGGAGGAGGAGCAACAAAAAACTGAAGAGAAAATGTCAATTGAAACAGAAAAGAAGAAAAAGAGGCTTGGTAAGACAATACAGTCAGTGACCCATACCTTTTAAATCAAACCAAATAATTCAAGATGTTAACTATAAATTATTAGAATTATTTTTCACTTTGCACTGGAATTATGAACATTGTGTGCTACACTTCTCTGTGTAACTAAACGCGAGCAAATTTTGATTAAAAAGCTAGTTTTTGTCATGCTCAGTCATCGTCCTGATTGGTTGATGGATATAAAAACCACAAAAGCTTTTTTTTTTACAACAGGAATGAATCCAGATGTAGACACAAGCTTCCTACCAGACAAGGATAGAGAAGAAGAAGAAAACAGGATCAGGTATACGAAAGTGTTGTTTCTAATACCATGAAATTATCTCCTATAAAAGCAATTTGAGTTATGATGAAAGTGTGTTACAATTTTTGAATACAAAGTCCTAAATTTATTTAATTCTTTGCTATTTTTTTAAGCGTTTTAGCTCATTGTTTCTTTTAGTAGGTAATTTGATTCTTGATATTGTACATTTTATATATTTATTGGCTAAATACATCCTTATATGGTCTCTTTATTGTTTTTGAACCTTCTCGGTGTACACACACTATTATAGGGGGAATCACCCCAAGTTTCAGATCAATTACCAGCATGCCTCCAAATTCTAGATAAGACAGGCTTGCATTAATAAGAAATATGAAAGTGTCCACTGATACTCAGGGTGGGGAGATTGGCTAACAATGCTTTCACATACAGATAAACTTAGAGTGATGATTGTTTCAATTAAATATTTTTTCCGTCTTTTCTGTAGGGAGGAGTTAAGGCAGGAGTGGGCTGCTAAACAGGAAGAGCTAAAGAACGAAAACATTGAAATAACTTACAGTTACTGGGATGGCTCAGGCCACCGGAGGACTGTTCAAATGAAGAAAGGAAACAGCATTCAACAATTTCTTCAACGGTGCTTAGAAACACTCCGAAAGGAGTTTGCCGAATTAAAATCATGCTCTGTTGACCAGCTTATGTACGTGAAAGAAGACTTGATAATTCCACAGCACTACACTTTCTATGATTTCATTGTAACAAAAGCACGAGGGAAAAGTGGACCGCTGTTCAATTTTGATGTACATGATGATGTGCGTATGATCAGCGATGCCAGAGTGGAGAAAGACGAGTCTCACGCAGGGAAAGTCTGTTTGAGGAGCTGGTATGA